AAAAAAAAAAAAAAAAAAAAAAAAAAAAAAAAAAAAAAAAAAAAAAAAAAAAAAAAAAAAAAAAAAAAAAAAAAAAAAAAGTCCCAAAAGGCTCGAAGCAAAGCCATGAGAGCCTATAATCAAAGTGGACAATATGATACCAATGTGGGGAGTTGATTCCTAATAAAATAAAATAAAATAAAAAAAAAAAACTCAAAAGGTTCAAACCAAAGCCATGAGAGCCTATACTCAAAGTGGACAATATGATACCATTGTGGAGAGCCGATTCCTAACAAAAAAAAACCCCAAAAGGTCCAAAGAAAAGCTATGAGAGCCTATACTCAAAGTGGACAATATAATACCATTGTGGGAAGTCGATTCCTAACCAAAAAAACCCCAAAAGGTCTAAAGCAAAGCTATGAGAGCTTATATTCAAAATGGACAATATGATTCCATCTTAGAGAGTCAATTCTTAACAAAAATGTCTAAAAAATTCTTAATCTTACAAATATTGGATTAAATTTTCAACATTTTCTTAAATTAACGAAATTATTTGATATAAAAATTGAATAAGTTTTCAATTTTTCAAATAGGCTAAACTTATAATTTAATCTTATAATATCGATATTTGTTCTTTCTTCGAAGGCTAATGTTGGATGCACAGAGAGATGTCGATGCAATGACTGTAGGAATGACCATGGCAAGAGAGAAGGTATGGTGTTCTTGAATTCTTCCATTCTTCATTCCCTTTGTCATCATTTGCACTGTGATAAGAAGCTTTGTAGCATCATATGATCTAGTGAACTGCAATGAAAAGGAACTTAAATTTCATGCGACTCCAGAGGTGGTGGCAACTGGAAAAGCTGATGTTGGAAGCGTGGAAGGCAGCTTGAGTTATGAACATGATATCTCCCCTTCTGAGTTTTATAGTCAACGACTCAACTCCCCGCAAACACCATCGTTTCAATACTCAGGGTAAGGATCTATTGGTATGATGACTATTACAAAAGGTATTTTTGTATCTGAATTGTTTCTAATTCCTTTTTCCTTTCACTTAGTTACGAAAAGGATCCCCTAAAATCCTGGATCGTGGCCGGAATATTTCGCCCCTCACCCGAATTTGATACGGCGAGCTCGTCTTCTCCAGATTGCTACGACATGTTTGTAGAATCAAACACAGACATAATGGATGCAAATTCTTGCCAATGGCAGCAGCAGATCAATTCAACGCCATTCATACCATCCAAGCCAAAGGGTTGTACAAGCATGTCACGTATCGACCAGCTACGCGTTGGAAGTAGTTCACCTGACACGCCCCCAGTTCAGGAAGGGAAGAAGGCGTCCATTAATGGAGGCTCACCAGAAACAAATATGGCGTTTCCCCCTCATTATGGTAACAACGAATATGAGGTTGGGATGAATAATTCTTTGGGGAGGATGGAGCGCCGCAGATATATATTGAAGTCGATGCCTCCCTTCCCGCACCTCACCCCACGCGACAGATGAAGAGCAGCAGCTACCAGTGACTCGAGTGGGAGATGATTGAGCCACAATGCCAAGCCATTGGATCATAAAGGAGCAGTGTAGATTTGAATACACAGGTTAGGTATTATTTGAATTTTCCTATGTGAAGAATATTTAAGTTTTTGTTTTGTTTTTGTTTTTGTTTTTGTTTTTGTTTTTTTTGGTTAATTGTGCTTTGGATTGATTGATGGATTCTTTTATTTATGGAAATGTGTTCTAATTAAAGTAAATAGTTGAAATAAATACATTTCATTCATAAAACTAAGATCAGTGGTAAGTAGGTAGTCATATATTAGATTACAACAACATTGAAAATTTTCTCAGATTCGTATACCCCCGAACTTAGGCTAAAAAACCGAAGGCGAAAACGAGTAAAACGTGGACAGTAACTCTATCAGATTTGCTAAAGACCAGAAACCAGAAAGACAATGGTTTATTCTTTACTAACGAAGCAACCACAATTAAAGAACTTATAACTATGATCATTCGTACTGCTGCCCCTATGCTCGAACGTCTCTACCATTTTTGTTACGAACCTAAAAAATGGTCTTCGTTGTTTACCTCCATGATTCTCTGCAACTTCTTCAGTGATCGACCAACCGTATGCCATCGAGCGCCAAAATGACTGTCAGCCAATTACAAACAACATCCATCTCCTCAGGAATGGTGTAATGGCCCAGCCTACATTGCAAGATCCCATCTTTTTGTTACTTATTATCAGACATACAAAACGAGAAGCACTAGGAAGTCGAGATACCAACATACCCGTTATAGGATTTAAATGTTAGATTGCTAAATCCAGATGAACTTAAAGTATGTGCAGATTTCTCCCCATGTTTGTAAGCTACAACATCGTCACCTGTAACCAACCGCTCAGTAAAATTCAATAGGATTAAGGGAATTGAGAGAGCATTTCTCTCACAAGGATGCATTAATGCTTTAACTCGTAAACTAGCAGTGTACCTGAACCATGACAGAGTAAAATGGGCAGGGACGCAGCGCGCCTTGCAGCTTCGTGTGACACACTGACCTGGTTCCTCAAAGATCTACAAAAAAAAAAAAAGGCTTTAATAAAGAACAAAGGCCACCCGTGTAGGCTTTCTCACGACCGTGCACTGTGTGTTTCGGCTTCTTCATAATTCACAAACAAAAATCAAACCTTGAACAGGGAAGCCAGCCACTAAGCCCAACAACTGCACTGAGGTTAATGGGGTATAGGTTTCCATTTCCATATTGCCCAAGAATACGGCATGACGCAGAGTAAATAGCAGTTGCAGCACCCATACTGAAGCCTCCAATACCCAGTTTAACTGTTAGTAAGAAAAAGAGTGAGAATATGACAAATTTGGATGCCAAACACCAAGTATCAGCTGTAAAAACGATACGAGAAGGTAGATGAGACCTCTATCTATACCTACCTACGTACAATTCATAACTGTTCTTCGTTTCAAAACCGTATATATGAAATAGTTTTAAATGAGAACTACCGGTTCGAGTCCTTGACACAACAATATCGAGTAATCTAATACGAGATTCTTTCTCTCTCATATGTGACCACCAGAGGAGTATCACACCAATGATTAAGTTCAGTGATTAAGTGACAAACAGCAAGTCAGCTGGGGGCAGTTAAAAAGCTTTTCAAGAAGAAACATACTATCAGCAGGTTCTGTAGACAAAAGATTAGCAACATGCGATGCTGCAGCATCCAAGCCTTCTAAATCATCAGGAGACTCCTCTGAAATATCTCCCACATCAAACCCTGATACGAAACGGCAGAGTACCTCATAATTTAAACTAATTCCAAGAATAAATATATCGTTTTCATAGGAGGAATTTGGCTCATAATTTTAATAAATTTTTTTATGAAATTTGGATAGTCTTACATGCAGTGCAAGGAAATCCACCAAATAATGTCACAGGACGAGTAGGAGCAGTAGGACAAATCCACTTAATCTGCAACAGAATTCGTAATTATTATGTTAATTGATCATATTAAACAAATCCCAAAACTTAATGACAATCAAGGTTACTATGTTAAGTAGCCTTACGTTTGGTAGAGGAAGAGTTTCCAAGAGCTGAGACCAACTGAAAAAAATTTAGAAGTAAATAAAATTCAATAACAACGATTCTGAAAGGACTTCCTAAGTTAGCAGATTACGATGAAGGAATACCAAAAGACAGCCTCCAAACAGATTCACAAGTATTGAAAACTGGGACCCAATAATGAAGAAACCAGCCCGCATTTAATGATGTAAATGTCTGATATCAGCTAGCATATGATAGTGATATTATTTTATATTGATTTTGATTTTTTTTTCTAATTATAAAGGACAGAAAACATGACGTTACCTTCCCACTTAAAAAGAAATCAGAATAAGAATCTCTAGTTAAGGCATATAGAATTTTTAAAACTTTCTATATATGAACATACACAAGAAGATAGGGCAAGACACTGACATTTACTCACTCAGCCACTTCTTCCCTTACTTTTGGCGTGGAAGACAAAAAGAAAGTCCTCTGCTCAGATATAACCCACTAATTAGGATGGAAAGTTTGTTAGTTACATGTAATGCGCCATAGAGTTCAGTGAGTCTTTATTCTCAAGTATGTAATAGCCCAAATCCACGGCTGGCCGATATTGTCCTCTTTGGACTTTCCTTTACGGGCTTCCTCTTAAGATTTTAAAACGCGTCCGGTAAAGAGAGGTTTCCACACCCTTATAAGTAATGTTTTGTTCTCCTCTCCAACCGATGTGGATCTCACAATCCACCCGATGTCTAGCTTCCACACCGCCCGATGTCTGGCTTTGATACCATTTGTAACAGCCCAAACTCACCGCTAGCAGATATTGTCTTCTTTGGGCTTTCCCTTTCAGGCCCCTCTGGTAGGGAGAGGTTTCCACACCCTTATGAGCAATGTTTTGTTCCCCTCTCCTGCTGACGTGGGATCTCACATAGTACATCAAAGTTTCTTCTTAATCTCAATCAAAGTAAGTCAACCAGAAACTAGCAAAATAACTCTAATAAGCTGGCTAAACAGGAAGGAGAACGTAAAGAAGATAAGCCATTAGTACCTTGACCCCTTATCACCAAGGCCATGTAACCAAACAATAGTTGCCTGATGCTTCCCTTTAGGCCTGACCACATGGGTCCTCCCAAACTCAAAGCTCATCCTGCCTGTTCTACTACCTGACATAATGGAGCAAAAATGAAAGCTAGCTAGTTTAGCTTGATGGACAGTAAACCAATAAAACAAAATGAGCAGAAAGTGAACAAACCAGAACCCATAGTAGAGCTGTTATAGCTCATTGTTTTTCCACAAAAATGTTGGAAGCAAGACAGGCCACAACTTGGGCGTTGGAATTAGTTCCTGCAATGAAGAGTTTTAGAATTGACCAATTGTATTTATATGCACTTGGGAGGGCTGAAATGGAACTAAAACCCATGAATTTTCCATTAGCTACTCCTGATATCACATCCCATAAACAGCCTCCAAAGTCCTCAAATACTAAAAAAAAGTGAAAGGCATCTCAAAAAAGGAAGAAAAAGGCAAGAAATCTTTATGGGCAAAGAAGAATCCACAAGAGATTAAAGCATCGATGCAGAAAACGAGCTCTGAGCTGACACAGCCCTTCAGTTTATAATGCCACAGAGGGAGCAACGAAAAGAGGGATTACGAGGGCAAGAGAGCGAGAGGCAAAGAATCTATGCCCGTGAACGCAGGACAACCCACAAGGCTAAAGCACTTCAACTACAGCAACACCAGAATATAGCAACTAATCAAAATTTTCAACCATTTTTTATGAAAAAAAAAGGGTGGTATAATACAATACATAAAGAATGAAAAGACAGCCATCAAATTACAGACCTAAAAGTTGAATGTTCAAGCAAGCATTGATGACGGCGAGAATTCATAGGAAAGATCTGGACGGATTGCTTAAAATTTACTTCAATATGAAGAACAGAAGCAGAAAGTGAAGGGGTTTTGAGGGTTTTTATTTACCAATTACAAAAAATTTGGGGTAAAAGTGTTCAACGACCCGAAAAGCATATCGGCTTTTCCGGTTTCTGTCTCTTTTGCAAAAGCTTTGCCTTCGCGTCCCTTCACAGTGCTTTCTCCTTCTTCTTCTTCTTGCTTTCTTTTTATTCCGTTGTTTCCTTCCTAATACTTCAAACGCCGAAGGGACTAAAGTGGCCCAGAAAGTCCAGAAACAACGGCTACTCTCTTACACAATGGCTTCCTGTGAAATTACTTTTTTGCACCCCCTTGCCTTCTAACTTCCTTGGTTTTTAGGGAAGGGCGTGCATGAAATCCGTAATTTTAGTACTTTTCTTTTTTTAACTAACCAAATAAATATATGTCAATTATACTTTATAAAAAAATTAATAATAAATATTATATATTTACCATATAAAAGTGACACTGTTTAGATACTGTAAACTAAAAAAAATAGAATTTAAAAAAATAAAAGATTAATAAAAAAACGAAATTATATTTAAAAATAGAATTAAACTAGAAAATTACCTAAAAATATTATATATTAAAAATCAGTGTTTGGAATGTAATTATCTAATCAAGAGGGAAGACAGAAAGCATTCGAGAAAGTACTTTTCAATCGTGTGATGATGTTTTCACGAATATGGCTTGAGACTTTTTTCCAAAAGAAATATATGATTTTTTTGAAAATTCTATTATATTTTTCAAGGTTAATTTTAAAATTTAAATGCATTAAAAATAATTAATTAAATTAGTTACATATTTTATATAAAAGAGTATGTTTGGATTTTTATTTTAATATTGTAAATAAGTTTTAATAACATTTAGATTATCAAATTAATATTGTCAACCAATTAAACAATTAACGATAAAATAATGATATGAATAATACGAAATTTTGAAATTAAAAATAAAATAAATATTAAATTTGGGAGCTGATTAAAAAAAAATAACTACGTGAATATTGTTTTTTTTTTTATTTTTAAAATTAAAATTAGCACTTTAGTAACAAAAATTGATCTTAACTTACAAAAAATACTTTAATTTTAGACTTTAAAGAAAGAGAAAATTTGGTTATAAACTTATATTTTAGATCTATTTAAAATTTAATTAATGAATTTATTAACCTTTTCGTACTATTTTCAATTCCCAATTACAATTAAAAAAAATTAGAATATGCGGACTTTATTTTTTTTGGAATCAATCTTTATAATTGGGAAAAATAAAATAATATTTAGCTTTAGATTTTTTTTTTTATTTCCTTAATGCTTTACAAAAATGCCTTTGGAAATTATTTAAGTATTTATAATGTAATTTTAAATGAAAATTTATTTTATCTATTTTATGAAAAACAAAAAATTGAATGAATAATTCAGATAATGTAATTGAGATAATTATTTAATAAAATTTGTTTTGGTTGAAATTTTTAATATTGAAAGAATTAGTGTTGAATTTTCTTTTTTAAAAATTAATCAATTTTTTACTCTCTCTTTTTTCTCTGTGTCTAGAAAAGTTAATTTTATTTTTAAAATATTTTATTTGAAAATTATTCCAACATTAGTAACTTTTTAGAAAAAGCATTTACTCAATGCATTCTTTGTGATAAAAAAATTCAAATTTTCATTTTTCCCTTTTTGAAAAAAAAAAAAAACATATTCACACATTTTATTTAAATCATAATTCTAAAATGATATTGAATTTTGGGTATACTATATAAAGTGGAGATTTTAAATTAACAAGAAAAACGTTTAAAAAAAATTAATAATCGAAATGTGATAAAGAGAGATTTTATCCAAATTTTATTGATAAACATTTTGTAGTAATACCGAATACCAAAACCAATGATAAAAGGGTTGAAAAATTGGTCAATTATAGAATGAATGGCTATGCAATACAGCTAAGAATCATAGATTTCCTTCGTTTTCTTCCATTTTTTAGATTCTTCTGAAGAATTTTGAATCAATTTCAACCATCTAAATCATTACATCTTTCAACTTCTGCTAAAATAGAGCTAAAGGGTTTTTTGGGGAATTTTATTCTTTCAGCTCAAAGAATCTTCATACCATTATATAATATTATATTCTTGTGAGGAAATTCCTTTGAGTCAACATTATAATCAAATTTAAAGATAGCAATATCTCCAAATTTTAAAAAGATAAAATGAAGGTTCTTTACAAAAAGAGAAAGGCTTTTTTTTTTTTTTTTTTTTCATTTCTTTTAAAAAAGATCTTTTAATGAGAATGAATTCTTCCGATTACATCAATAGTCCAATCTAAAATATTGCGAATACAATTTTTCGTGTTCTAAGAATTTTTTTTGGATATCAAAAGATATTTTTGTTTATTTTTTTTTCTTTGATGTATGATGGGTATTCAATGAATAAGTTTATATATACTATTAATGAGTGAAATTTCAAATAAATATTTTTATTTCTTCAAATATAGAACGCAAAACAATTTGCCCGTATCAATTCAAAAAGTCAAACTTCTCGTAATGAAAAATTGACCTTTTGGCAAAAAAAGACTCTCTAAAGTTACGAGGCACTTGCTTTTACTTTGGTTAAATTTGAATATTAAAAACCTACACACTTTGCTTTTGAAAGAAAAAGTTGTCAACTCTTTGATAATAAAAACCTAAGTTGGGATTTGATCTTTGGAATAATAGGCGATGGGACTAAAATAGATCTCTTCGTCACCTTTCAAATCCTTTTATTTGTATACAATAAGATGCTGTCGCCACTACTTCATTTCATCATACATTTTAGATTAATCTAATTGATACGACGGTTTGGATTGAAATTAAACTATATGAATTGTATATAAATTTAGTGAATATGCTTTTTGTCGAATATAATTTGGAAGTTTTCATATGATTTTGGCATCTTCAAGTTGACGCACATCGAACAAGACACTAAAGAAAAACCATAGATCAACACGAGATATCAAAATCGCCCGAAACTGGCTAACGACTGTAGACATGCAAACACTGCTGAATACCCAGAAAAGAAAATGATCCAAGATGATATTATTCACTCTATATCCTACGAGATGTACTCTGATGCAAATCTAAGCCGGGTTTAATACAAAGGCTAGAATGCATAATTTATGGTCTCCATGAAATCATTAAGGTCCTTTCTTTCTTTTAATGATCTTTTCACCTTCTCTTAATCTGGAGATCCATCACCGTAAGAGACCAGGCCCTTCTTCCCTTCTGGGCTACCAGAAGGTGACCTGGACCTATCTTTAAGCGTTCTTCTTGGGGATTGTGAATCCGCAGGGGTTCTTGATTTCAATGGGGATCTGCTCCTTGAAGAAGATCTCCGCCTAACGACTCGAGGAGACACACGAGACCTGGATCCCTCAACTGGGGAACGGCTCCTAATAGGGCTTCGACTACAGCTATAACGACGACTACGGTAACGAGGACTACGAGATGCAGAGGGAGTCCTGCTTCTTCTGTTTCTGTATCTGTATAAATGAGGAGTTATCAAGCAACATAAGAACAAAACATGTAGCAATACCATTGGGGCATTTGTACTAGTTTAAAAGATTAAGGCTTTATGTTGGTCATGTGTCAAATGAGAAGAAACTCTTATGTTCATGAATAGATTCAATTCAGAACTTTGATTGTGAGAAATAATAGAGATAACAGACCTTAGCGGAGATCTTCCTCTAGGAGGGCTTCTATAGCGCCTGGGAGAATATCTTCTGTAACTTGAATATCTAGTAACACAAGCAAGCACTTAAAAGATCATTTCTCTGAGCTGTTCACTTATAAGCATAGAAAACTGGAAGTGTGACATTAAACAAACTGAACATTATCAAAAAAGCTCACCTGTCACGTTCAACTCTTCCACTGTAACGATATGACCTGACAGGAGATGCAGAGGGTGTTCTGTATCTTCGAGCAAATGAATAACGCTCACTAAAACCACGCCCCCTTCTGATGCGCTTTGGAGACCCTTCTGGGGAAACACTTCTTGATGCACTTCTCCCTCTATCAGATGCCGGTGACCTTGGCCTACGGATGGGAGTAAGACTCCTAGAGTAGCTCCTTCGATTCCTAACTGGTGCTTGAGGACTTCGACTGATACTCCTCCTAGAAGGCCCCCTACCTGAGCTTCTGCTCAGACTCTGACGAGACGACCTCAATGGACTTCTGCTTACACTTTTGGAAACTCTTGCAGGACTCCTACTAATTGATTTTCTAGAGGCTCTTCTAGGTGGGCTCCTGCTTGGACTTCTTTGTAGATTGGATCTCAAGGGGCTTCTGCTAACTCCTCTCCAAGGCCCGCATCGTAATGGGCTTCTACTAATACTCCTACCTTTCCTTCCCATACCCGAGCTCCTGCTACAATTTCGAACAGGACTTCTGCTAATGCTCCTGCTCCTCAATTGTGCACGAGGCGGGCTTCCACTAATACTTCGACTCCTGCTCATACTTCGTTTCGGACTAACACTGCGACTCTTGCTGCGACTAATACTCTTACTCATCGTCCTTCTAGGACTATAGCTTCGACTCCTGCTCATCAACTTTTAATAAAATACCAGATCTGGAACAATTGTTAAGCACAAAGAATAACTGAGGCGTGACAAGAATGGAGAGTGGACCTAGATTTTCCAGGGTGGTCGTCTACAATATCAGGTTGTCTTTCACAGCATCTGTA